CTTCTGCTCCTGTAGGCCCTCCTGGAAATTACCAACCATAACTGATTATGTCTCTGTGGATCTGTGTTCCCCGCCACAGTGTTGTTTGCATGTTGTTGATAGAAGAGATCGGCAAACCCAGAAGATCTGGTTCTGAGCTGAGAGGGAAGGAGCGTGTTTGGGGTTGTGTCAGGTGAAGGTGCTGTGACTGCTAGGACCTGTTATGGAGCTCTGTTTTTAGTCCTGGGAGCAGGAGGAGGCGGAATCAAGTTCAGAATCTGTGGAAGCCAAGAAGACGAGGAGCCAGGGCTGGATTTTACTGTCTTAACAGTATAGACCGTTTGCACTAAACTGAAATAGCACCACTTACTTAAGATTCATTGTCATTCTTGTTCTGAAATCACAGATTCCATTTGACAGTATGATAAGACAAAAATGTATTTTTAAACTTTGCAAGCAACACTTCAGAAATATCTGCCAAGAGTCATGATTTTGTGCGTGCCTGTGTGTTTGTGAAGTACAGCTTCCCCAGAAGCCCTTTGTAGTGGAGCTGACGTCAAGGTGTTGGGGAGGTGAAGCCTGGGGTCAGTCTCCTGCACCAGTGTCTCATTCCTGTTGAGATGGAGGTGAGATGGGGAGGAGAGACACCTTTCCCAGGCACGCCGCCGTGGGTGTAGCCGCCGAGGGATGTCACGTGTGTGTGAGTCACTCTGCTTTGCTTTTAGGTCAGTATTGCAAGGTGGATCATGTCAGTTATGGTGGCCAGTGAGCTTGTGCTTGTGTGGCCAGGCTGCTGTGATCTGAGGAGACAGCTGGGCACCGGTGTGGGAGCAGTTGGTGGAACTCGGGTATCAGCAGGTGAAATGTCTGGGTGGGCTGTTTGTGTTTGGTGCTGGTGCTGAATCTTCTGAGTTCTAAATTACATGCTGTCCAGGTGATTGGCTCCTGGCATGGCCCTCCTTCCGTCTCAGTGGCCACGGGCTTGGCTTGTGTCTTGGGAGTCTTAACACACTTTGCTCCTTGAACAAGGAGAGGTGTTCTACTGCCTGCTGCTGTGAGCTACACTGATAACTCCTAATAAATACATAGTACACATGGCTTGCAAGAGTACAATTCCTGAAATTGTAGGCCCTGGCTTCCTTGTGCTTGCATTAGGGAACTTTGTCTTTGGAGTGAGGACACAGGGAGTCCAGGTCTCCTCCCAACAGCCTTACCGTGGTGTTTCCTTGTTACCAGGATTTGAGCCCATTGAGGCCTTCAGGCTGCCAAATGCCTGCAACTCCAGCCAGCATCTTGATGGCTTCCCACCTGGCAGCTGGGAACCACATCCATGCAGCAAGCTGCTTCTGAACACAGATTAGAACACTGCAGATGTTTGCTGTTCGCGTTCCTGAGTTTAGAGACTAGTTGTAGAAATGTGTGCGTGCTCAGGTGTCCAGAGACGACACAGTGTAGAGGCCTACGGGCTGGGTAGAAGAGTCCCCTGGGGTGTTGATTGTCCTCTTCTGCCTGATCCTGTCACCTCCTGAGGGCGGGCACAGTGGGGCCCTCTGGGAAGGAATATGCTCTCTGGCCACCAGTTTGCATGTATTTCGGCATCTTCTTTTCTTTCTTTTGAGGTTTCTGTGAAGCCTTAGCTGCCAGCAGTTTATACTACCGTGGTTTGGATTTGGGGTGGGAGGGGGTCCTTGTTTGCTGGGGAGTGTGGCAGTGCTTGCTCAGCATCCCCTTTAGTTTGCGTCACAGCCTTCTGAGAGGAGGAGCTGCCGTGGTAAAGCTCTTGATCTGGGTGGCCTGTGCTCCTCAAGGCTGGCTTGTGTTTGGAGGTGGAAGACAGCACCTTGCTGAGGACCTTGTGTATGTGTGTATGTATCAACACCAGGGCTTCCCTGACCACTTCTGCCGCTGCAGGTAGGGTAGGTGTCACTCTGACAGCAGCCCCTCTTGGCCCGGCCCTTCCTTCCCATTTGAAGAGCCTGGTCAGAGGCTTGTTGACACTCCCTGAGGTTCCTGGAACTTGCGCTCCATGTGATGGGCCACAGCCCGACAGTAGGGTGACCAGTTTTCTATGCCTGCAGGATGCAGACTCTCCAGGGAGCTGCTGCAGTACGCCGAGGTTGGAGAAGTACGGAAGGTCAGAAAGTTGTGTCCTGATAGGAAGTTCTGGGTCGAAGGCTTCCAGCATCTGTGCTCCGTAGGCTTCTGTCTGTCCTGCTGGTCTCTGGATTGAGACAGTGTTACGGTTTGGGGACACAGGTGACCAGGCGGGTCCATGCCTGCTGCTCACAGGACCACTGTGATGATGTCAGCTTGCCAGGCAGATACTGTGGACAGTTGAGTACCACATTCTTCCTGTTTCAGGTGTTCATACAAGAGCTAAGCCCGACCTTGCATTTGGCTATTACAAATTACCATAAAATAGGGACTATGTGCAAGTAGAGCACTTTTAGAGGTGTGGAGGAAGTATGGCAGGAGATGGCATCTAGACCAGATTGCAGTCTTGGAAGATCAGAATTAGCCCATCCGGGAATGTGGCCAGCAGGGTCACAGGCTTCTGTGCCCGCGTAGATGAACGTCAGGGCAGGAGAGGGGCAGGCAGACCTGCTGAAGCACATGTGTCCCTCTGGTCTATGTGGCGGTGACCTCCTACTCCTGTGTGCTGTGAAAGCCTGCCTTCCTGCCAGCCTGTAGTGTTACTACCTGCTTGGCAAAGCCCGGGGAGGCCAGGCTGTGCAGTCTGTCCTAGATTCCTTGTGGTTCCGGGGAGCAGTCCTGTGTGTCACTGATGGCCTTAGCTGGGAGGTGTTCCAGGGAAGGTTCCAGGCCTCTTCTCTGGTTCCTTTAGTGCGAATGGTCTCTGAATTAAGGCTTTTTGCTGGCTGATTGCCGTTTGGGGAAGCAGTCTGTCCTGCTCCTTGTTGGGTTTCCTGTGGAGGAAGGCAGCAGTAAGCTCACTGCGCTCTGATTTCACGCCGAAGCTCATTGGCAGGCAGCTGCAGCCAGTCAGATGCTCCGTGGTGTCTGGGTAGGAAAGCTATATAGTCTTGGAATAACAGGAAGCTTCCCATATTTCACATCCTGTTGTTCTGGGGTTTCTGACTTGCTGCCTCTCCATAATGAAGGTTAGTGGACATTTGTCTGTGTGTTTCTTGTGGAATACCTTAGCTTGAATTTTCCAGACCTTAGAGCTGAAGGTCAGATCACCCTTACAACATTTTATAATCAAGGGAACTTCACAGTTAGCACGAGGAAGCTAAGGCTTAGGCAGGACAGTACCTTTTACTTTTTAAAAAGGTGCAATCTAACTTACTGTGATCCTTAAAAATCTCAACAGGGACGTGAGCCTAGAAAGAGCTCCTGTTTGGCTGGTTTTCTGTAAGTTACAGGAAATGCATTGCACCCCATGAAAAAGTTCTGAGGGCTCTGCCGGGAGGGGTCGGAGAAAGACTGGCCTACTGAGAGACCAGTGGAGTTTTGATTGACAGTCGCTTTTGGCTTTTGGGGTTTTGTGCTTTGGCTTGGTGCTTAGGAGCCTTTAGCAATGTCGCCTTTGAACTGTTTGGACCCTCGGCCTCTTTCTTGAGGTACATCTGACTCTCTGGATGGGTGACCCACAAATCCACTCAATCGTGGTCCAGTATACATTGGCTGGGCAGTGGGAGATGTGTAATCGACCTCTTCAGACTTTAGGCCCTAGGATGGCCTGCACACATCTACACCGCCGGCCATGAGGTTTTTCCCGGGATAAATGTACTTGGGATTTCTGGGAGCTCAGCAAGGCTCAGGCAGGGCTTCAGGAAGTAAGATGAGTGAGACTCAGCAGGAAGGAGGTGGGGTGTGGGAAGGCAGGAAGGGGTGGAGGGGGGGGGGGAGTTCCTGGCCCTGGCTGAGAGACTGCAGGAGGAGGAGGGTGGCCAGTCCGCAGGTGCTTATCCAGGCAGAGGATCAAGATGGTTCTCTTTTGCTTCAAGGAGAGAAAGGATGCTAATTTTGTGTGTATTTTGGCATCTAGCTTTTGGCTTTTGGCATTAAGCTTTTCTTTCTATAATTTGTACCAATTAGATTTGTCTCACTTTTTCTAGAATACTATACTGGATGATTGGGTTATCAAAGTTAGTTGTAGAAGAGGTTATTTAGTGATCAAAAGTGACACATAGTCTTTAGAGATTATTTGGAAAGAGTTGTGCATGTTTTAGCATATCTGTAAGCGTGTACATGTGTGCATACACTCCTTCAAGCAAAAGCCAGATGTGTTTAACCAGGTGATTTTCTGCACATTCTCTCCTAGATGTAGGTGGGCGGTACATCGCATAACACACACATGCACACTCACAGGTACACATACATGCATTTGGAGCCCAGCTGTCTGAACCCAGGCCAGCTCATGTGTCTTCTCTCCTGGCTCAGTCTTGGGGTGTGACTTGAGTCAGAGTCAGAGTGGGTAGGTGGCCCTGGATCAGAGTGGATTGCCTACAGTCCAGGTTCTTCAGAGCTCTCTGGCCAGAGGCCCCCACTCTGTTTCTCTCCTGGGATCTGCTTTATCTGCCATCTGTTCCCTGTCGTCTGTGCTTTCCTGTGTCTCAGGTACCTTGTGTGCTGTTGCCTTGGATAGGGTACCTTTCGTTTACCTCCCTTATGTACCAGAAGAGAACATCTTTGCATGTTTTGTCCTGCGGACTCTGCACAGTTGAAGGAGAGAGGATTACAGCCCGCCATGAGCCTTTACTGAGTACCTTTGCTGGTGGACCCGGCTCACACCCTGGCTTCTGCCTGACCCGTGGAGAAGGGCACAGAGCTGGGTCTGGTCCCCTCCCAGGGCTTGCTGCCTGTGTGGAAATGCCTCACGAGGGAACTCCCATGGGCTCCTTTCCCAGGGACCCACTCGGAGGCCGTGCTGCCACTTGAGTGTTTCCATCAAGTGTGCTGACTGTTTGCCGCCACGTGTCATTGGCAGAGTCTCATTTGTCCCGTGCCAGCGAATAACATGGCACTAATTGTTTTGTTTCCTTTTCTTCTTTCAGACTTTTGATGCAAATGATTTATATCAGGGGCAGAACTTTAACAAGGTCCTCAGCTCCTTGGTGACACTGAATAAAGTGACAGCAGGTAAGACTGATCGAGTGTCTTCAGGGTGAGAGTACAGGCTCATGTCTGGTCCTCAGCAAGTGACGTGACCATCCTGTGCTGAGAAAGAAGCGTCTGCCATTGAACATCTAGCTGGTCCTTCTGCTGCGGGTGTTCTGGGAGGCTGGGAGCCTTCAGCACGGGGCTGTCCCGAGCCCCTCCCCATACAGTCACGTGTGTGCTGGGGTTGTGCTGTGCAGCCTGCCCTTCCCCGAGCCCTGGCTTTACAGCAGGAGTGGGGTCTGCTGGTTCAGAGCACTGGGGTCTGTCTTCACTGCTACGGGGTGAGGTTTAGAGGGTGTGATAGACTCACGATCGCCCCTTGTGTAGTAAGGCCTTGCAGATGATGTTTGGTCACTAGTGGGCAGTGCCATGATGGCATGCACTGTGTAGTCCAGCTGGACACTAGAGGCTCCGCCAGTAGATTTGTGTGTGTGACGTTGCACCTGATGACACATTCTTAGTCCTGTCTTCAGAGAGTGCTAGCTGGTCATGATATCGAATGTCACTCTGCCTCCTTGTGATGTATGGCGTGTGCTCTCAGAGAAGGGCCCATGCACTGTGCTGGGGACTTAAGTGCCAAGCAGTGCCTCGCCGAGCAGTTAGCACTGTTCTTCTAGTTGAAGGGAACGTTTTATAAACACCTATAAAATGGTTTGCAAACTTGAGAATTACCCTAGAGAAGAACTGGTAAGTTAGTCATCCCCAGATCGTTCCTGGAGAGGTAATTGGGGAATGAATGCATCATTTATGGGGCAGAGAATCTGTTCTTTGTTACTGTGTAAATGGCCTGCTTTGTTGTGGGCTTTTGGTGTGTCTCACCATGCTGGCTCAGTTTCAGAGCCAGTGTGTGTTGAGGGTCCATGGTGTCAGGCGTCTGCAGCACTTCTTCTTCTTTCTGTGTACACGACCTTTTTAGACATTGGACTCGGAAGTGACTCTGTGTGTGCGCGGCCCTCTTCACATCGGATAAAGTCTTTTGATTCTCTGGGATCCCAGTCTTCACACAGTAGGACTTCAAAATTGCTTCAGAGCCAGTACCGAAGCTTGGTAAGTAAGATGTTTTACTTTGATTCAAAGGCATTTTGGACATGAGAGGCTGCAGATGTCCCTTGGGGGATGCGTGTGCCCTGCAGATGGAATGTGGACCATTGTGGGCTCCTGGCCTTCCTGGGTGGCTCCTGCTGTGTGTGCTGGCATTTGCTTCTCACTAGATTCTCCCAGATCCCGAGATGAGTGTTTGGGAAGCTTGTTGTATTCGGGTTTATGTTGAAGGCTGCAGCTGCTCATGTAGAGAGAGAAGCACATGCTTTGACACATCCCTAGGGTAATCGCCCGTTGTGTCCATGAGTGTGAGAATAAATAGTGCATAGGTGCATAAACCTAGCTACTAGACAGGGATGGTGCAGAGCCTGCTGCCAGGAGTCGCAGAGTGGGACCCAAGTTGTGGAACAGGCAGTGCACTGAGGGTTCACACCACTCAGAAGTGCTCATGAGTGTGGTCAGCTGTATCCTTCCATGTCTTTCTGCTTTCAGCATTTCTGTGAAGCTACTCAAACTTAGTTCTCTTGATGAAACACAACTCAACCCCATCAGCTCCTTCTTGAGACTGACTTTAGCAAACCTTCCAGCTTCCTTGTTGAGTTAGGGCACGTGGAAACCGTGGTTCTTCCTGTCCATCTCTGTAAGGACCTGCTCATTTGACTCACTCAGGAGCACTTCCATCCTCGCCTCTCCTGGGGTCCACTGCCATCCCACCAGCTTGAGACGGGGTGGTGGGCACGTGTCCGCGGGTGCAGCTCCCTGAGAGCGGAAGACTGAAGGCAGCTCTTCCCAGTCTAAAGCCTGCTTTCCAAGCCCTCCTAAGTGAGGCGCTTCACAGAGAACCACCACCTGTGAGTAAAGGCTGGAGTGGGTAAGGAGAAGAAACAGGGCATCAGGAGAGGGTGACAGCAGGCCGTCTGGGGAGCTGCCCCTGCTGGTGGGGGGTGGCAGTCCTGATTCCCCTAGAGTAGATGTAGAACTTCTCAGAAAAACCTAAATTGCTATATGGAAGGGGACAGCAGGCATCTCTTTACTCAAAGTCTAAGTGTGGATTTCTAACACATTCCTCTTGTCTGTCTGTCTGTCTGTCTGTCTGTCTGTCTGTCTGTCTCTCTCTCTCTCTCTCTCTCTCTCTCTCTCTCTCTCTCTCTCTCTCTCTCTCTCATCTATCTACTTATCATCTCTCTCTCATCTATCTACTTATCATCTATCTATCATCTACCTATCTATCGACCAGATATTTCAAGACAGAGTTTCTCTGTGTAGCCCTGGCTGTCCTGGAACTCATTCGGTAGACTAGGCTGGCCTCGAACTTAGAGAGATCCACCTGCCTTTGCCTACAGAGGGCTGGGATTAAAGGCGTGTGCCACTGTCACCTGGCCCTCTCATGTTTTAAAAAGCTCATTTAAACACTGCTTTGTGAGGCACCTCTCAGCGGAGGAGCAGCAGCAGCAAGTTAAGTCAGGAATGTGGGGATGCACACGTGCTCTGGGCTTTGGATGTGAGATGTGCTGTCACATCGTCTTTTGAGCTCTACTTTAGAATGTCCGGGTCTGAGTGTCCATCCACTGATAGTTAAGTATGGCTCTAGTTCTCAGTGTGGCTCTGAGGGTTGGGGTCAGAGTTAGTGTAAGCATTGCTCCTGGCGTCCCTCATCTCTGCGAGGAATGACTAGATTGTTAGGGCATTTCCTCCTTTCTTGGAGCCAGGGACCCCAGACTTCTCTGGTGCTCTCCTGATAGTGCTTTGGTACCAGTCCCGGGTTGACAGACTGTGCTGTCGGAAGTTACGGCACAGCTTACTCACACCGGTGTTATTAGTGCGGTACTAAGGAAGATGCTTTGCTGCCTCAGTACATTGTCTTTATCCTCCTGGGACCATTTTCCAAACCACTCGGTGCATCTGAGAGTGAAATGTACTGTCTCCTGTGTTAGCTTCCTCCATTGATCCCCCTTTTCTGTCTTGTCAAGAAGTTCCTGATTGAAATGAAGTCCGCTGTGCAGTGAGGGGCATCCTCTGTTGTGTCTTTGACACCGTGGAGAGGAGTCAGCACTGCGGGGTCCTGGGCCAGTCTTCCGTCTCTGTGATGGGGCGCAGGGCTGGAAATCACCCAGTGCCCAGATGGGGCTGCCTGCTGCTCTCCAGTGGGGAGGTGGTCTTCATGGATGTCAGGGGCATGGGCAGAGCTCGGGTGGTCTGTGGCCCTGGGGCATTCCTCACCCCAAGATGCCGGTGACCTGAGGCTACCCACTGCAGTGAATGGCTGTGTGGGATCTGGTCCCTAGAAACACCAGTGCAGGTTTTGCAGATGGACTCTTTGTTTCTGTGGCAGCGGGAGAGGCTTGTCTACTGTTTGTTGTTGTCGTTGGGGAGGGGGTCGCTGTTTGCTGGATTTATACTTACCAGCCTCTCCTGAGCCTCTGGATGGAGAAGAGAGAACTCCCAGCAGGTCTCTCACGCTTCTCAGAACTGGAAGTGGGGTCTCTGAGCACTGAGCACCCAGAATGAGAGGTATTGTTTTCCTGTTATTGTGGCCGAATGCTTGTTAGCATCTTCCAGTAGGTGCCAGTTTGATGAAATAAGGGTTCTTAAATACTGATGGGCATGTTGCTTGGGGTAAGTGTGTAGAGCTTTTTTGGAGATCAGTTTAGAAATATCTATTAGAGTTTAAATGTGTTACATGTATCTCAGGACCATTTTTCCAGTGGAGCCTTTGTAAGATAAGAGAAACATTGCATGCAATACATAGACAAACATTGGGAATAACCTAAAAATTAGCGGCACAAGTGTACAGTGTGGCATTATGTAGTTGGAAACATGTCCACAGTATAGAGATTAATTTTCAAGGTAGAGACAGGCACACTGATTGCATCCAGATGTGTGATGTGTTTGTGTGA